AATGAGCGCCCGTTTTCTTTTGGCTGCCCATTCTCTGTGATTGAGTCTGGAGGGACTCATTTATACTGATTTATATTGTAAAACACTAGTTTTACAGCTTTTTTCGAAGGACCTTGGCTCATAGGTTATTTGTACACTGTAGTACAACATATTTGGACCACAGTGTGGTCTTTATCCGGTTCGAGCACGACCAATTATGTTGAGAAATGGCATTACCAGTTAAGTTTAAAGACTTATACTTAACTTAAAAAGACAACTCATCGCCTGCACAGCCGCCCCTGCAGACGAGGTCTAGAAGCTGTCGAAGCCATCTTCAACTGGCTGTGAAGAGTTACAATTTGTAAGATTATAAATTACCCCTAGGGGGTGTTATGTCAGCATATTTCATTCAATGATGGCTGATGACTTACTTGTGTGGACTCAATGGTCCGCATATCACCGGGGTTTATGATAAGTGACTAACTCACGACTTTATACTCAACTGCGCAGTCAATAGTAGTACATCACGAGTTAGAACACTTACCTGGGTATATGTATCTGACCCGTAATTACGCCCGGATATCCGTTGAGTTGATTGAAGAATAGTGTTCTTTGAAGAATGTCGCACTACACTCTGTTGGATTGCAACACTCGTTGTTACACTGTTCATCAATAATTGTACACACAATATCACTAAGAAGTTGATCACACTTCTCTGTAAGTGTTTATCGTGTTTTGTGAGACACTTTGTCCACACTAACGCACAGATCAGTGTTCTTTGTTGGTTATCCTGGCGTCAGTGTCACTCTCAGTAGAGTCGAAAGAAATCTGAAGATGCCACAGCGCCCCTTGCCATCACTGCCCTAGCACAAAAAAAAAAAGCTGATCTAGTACTTTATGCTTCCTTGCCACTTCCTCGATGAAGCAAAGCAGAATGTTTGATTCTTGCTGTCTTAAGCATAGACAACAATGTCCACTATTTTTACCATGGTAATAAAGTGGGAGCAGGATTTTCCTTAATTGTCCTGCTAAAGTAAGAGATGTACTGTCTCTTATAAAAATACACTTTGCAACACTGGACTGCAAGGAGCAGAGGTCATTTGACCATGCATACTCGTACGGCATCTGTGATCAATTACTCACTGTAGCAGTAAACAAGATGCTCGCCCCTTCTGAGAGGGCTTGGCCCCTCAGGGCTGAAAGGGGCTGAAGGGGCTGAAGGGGGCTGATACCCCCCTCCTGGAGAAAATTTCTCCACAATTACCCTTGGGTCGTTGTTGATGATTACCCTAATGTCGTTGTTGATGATTACCCTAAGGTCGTTGTTGATGATTACCCTAAGGTCGTTGTTGATGATTACCCTAAGGTCGTTGTTGATAATTACCCTAGAGTCGTTGTTGATGATTACCCTAAGGTCGTTGTTGATGATTACCCTAAGGTCGTTGTTGATGATTACCCTAAGTTCGTTGTTGATAATTACCATAAGGTCGTTTTTGATGATTACCTTAAGGTCGTTGTTGATGATTACCCTAAGGTCGTTGTTGATGATTACCCTAAGAAGGTTGTTGATGATTGCCCTAAGGTCGTTGTTGATGATTACCCTAAGGTCGTTGTTGATAATTACCTTAAGGTGTTGTTGATGACTGCCATAAGGTCGTTGTTGATAATTACCCAAAGGTCGTTTTTGATGATTACCCTAAGGTCGTTGTTGATAATTACCCTATGGTCGTTGTTGATGATTACCCTAAGGTCGTTGTTGGTAATTACCCTAAGGTCGTTGTTGATGATTACCCTAAGGTCGTTGTTGATTACCCTAAGGTCCTTGTTGATAATTGCCCTAAGGTCGTTATTAATAATTACCCTTGGGTCGTTGTTGATGATCACCCTAAGGTCGTTGTTGATGATTACCCTAGAGTCGTTGTTGATGATTACCGTAAGGTCGTTGTTGATGATTACCTTAAGGTCGTTGTTGATGATTACCCTAAGGTAGTTGTTGATGATTTCCCTGAGGTCGTTGTTGATAATTACCCTAAGGTCGTTATTGATAATTACCCTTGGGTCGTTGTTGATGATTACCCTAATGTCGTTGTTGATGATTACCCTAAAGTCGTTGTTGATGATTACCCTAAGGTCGTTGTTGATTACATTAAGGTCGTTGTTGATTACCTTAAGGTCGTTGTTGGTGATTACCCTAAGGTCGTTGTTGATAATTACCCTAAGGTCGTTATTGATAATTACCCTAAGGGTCGTTGTTGATGATTACGCTAAGGTCGTTGTTGATTACATTAAGGCTGTTGTTGATAATTACCCTAAGGTCGTTATTGATAATTACCCTAAGTTCGTTGTTGATGATTACCCTAAGGTCGTTGTTGATAATTACCCTAAGGTGTCGTTGTTGATTACCCTAAGGTCGTTGTTGATGATTACCCTAAGGTCGTTGTTGATGATTACCCTAAGGTCATTGTTGATAATTACCCTAAGGTCGTTGTAGATAATTACCCTAAGGTCGTTATTGATAATTACCCTAGGTTCGTTGTTGATGATTACCCTAAGGTCGTTGTTGATAATTACCCTAAGGTCGTTGTTGATTACCCTAAGGTCGTTGTTGATGATTACCCTAAGGTCGTTGTTGATGATTACCCTAAGGACGTTGTTGATGATTACCCTAGGGTCGTTTTTGATGATTACCCTAAGGTCATTGTTGATGATTACCCTAAGGTCGTAGTTGATGATTACCCTAAGGTCGTTGTTGATAATCACCCTAAGGTCGTTTTTGATGATTACCCTATGGTCGTTGTTGATGATTACCCTAAGGTCTTTGTTGATGATTGCCCTAAGGTCGTTGTTGATGATTGCCCTAAGGTCGGTGTTGATGATTACCCTAAGGTCGTTGATTATTACCCTAAGGTCGTTGTTGATAATTACCCCAAAGTCGTTGTTGATAATTACCCTAAGGTCGTTGTTGATTACCCTAAGGTCGTTGTTGATGATTACCCTAAGGTCGTTGTTGATGATTACCCTAAGGTCGTTGTTGATAATTACCCTAAGGTCGTTGATAATTACCCTAAGGTCGTTGTTGATGATTACCCTAAGGTCGTTGTTGATGATCACCCTAAGGTCGGTGTTGATAATTACCCTAAGGTCGTTGTTGATAATTACCTTAATGTCGTTATTGATAATTACCCTAAGGTCGTTGTTGATAATTACCCTAAAGTCGTTGTTGATGATTACCCTAAGGTCGTTGTTGATAATTACCCTAAGGTCGTTGTTGATTACCCTAAGGTCGTTGTTGATGATTACCCTAAGGTCGTTGTTGATGATTACCCTAAGGTCGTTGTTGATAATTACCCTAAGGACGTTGTTGATTACCCTAAGGCCGTTGTTGATGATTACCCTAAAGGTCGTTGTTGATGATTACCCTAAGGTCGTTGTTGGTGATTACCCTAAGGTCGTTGTTGATTACCCTAAGGTCTTTGTTGATGATTACCCTTAAGGTCGTTGTTGATGATTACCCTAAGGTCGTTGTTGGTGATTACCCTAAGGTCGTTGTTGGTGATTACCCTAAGGTCGTTGCTGATTACCCTAAGGTCATTGTTGATGATTACCCTAAAGGTCGTTGTTGATGATTACCCTAAGGTCGTTGTTGGTGATTACCCTAAGGTCGTTGTTGATTACCCTAAGGTCTTTGTTGATGATTACCCTTAGGTCGTTGTTGATGATACCACTAAGGTCGTTGTTGTGATTACCCTAAGGTCGTTGTTGGTGATTACCCTAAGGTCGTTGTTGATTACCCTAAGGTCATTGTTGATGATTACCCTAGAGTCGTTATTGATAATTACCCTTGGGTCGTTGTTGATGATTACCCTAAGGTCTTTGTTGATGATTACCCGAAGATCGTTGTTGATAATTACCCTAAGGTCGTTGTTGATAATTACCCTAAGGTCGTTGTTGATGATTACCCGAAGATCGTTGTTGATAATTACCCTAAGGTCGTTGTTGATAATTACCCTAAGGTCGTTGTTGATGATTACCCCGAAGATCGTTGTTGATAATTACCCTAAGGTCGTTGTTGATGATTACCCTAAGGTCTTTGTTGATGATTACCCGAAGATCGTTGTTGATAATTACCCTAAGGTCGTTGTTGATAATTACCCTAAGGTCGTTGTTGATGATTACCCGAAGATCGTTGTTGATAATTACCTTAAGGTCGTTGTTGATGATTACCCTAAGGTCTTTGTTGATGATTACCCGAAGATCGTTGTTGATGATTACCCTAAGGTCGTTGTCGATGATTACTCTAATTGCGTTTTCTTCTCTTGTTTCGATTAGTTTGTTGCCAAACATTTTGCATTCGTGTTTAGGACAGTTCTGTATAAAGTGCAGTACCTTGAACTTGTCAAAGATAAAACTCAACTATCAACATCCTCCCAAAGAAAAGCAGGGATGTCACTAGCACGTTAAGAGACCATACAATAAGTGTCAGGGGCCCGAGACTGTTCAACTGCCTCCCAGAATACATAAGGGGATTACCAACAGATCCCTTGCAGTCTTCAAGCTGGCACTGGACAAGCACCTAAAGTCGGTACCTGACCAGCCGGGCTGTGGCTCGTACGTTGGTTTGCGTGCAGCCAGCAGTAACAGCCATGTTTGATCAGGCTCTGATCCACCAGGAGGCCTGGTCACATACCGGGCCGCGGGGGCGTTGATCCCCGGAACTCTCTCCAGGTAAACTCCAGGTAAACTCCTCGACCATAGTGGAAACGCGAATACTGAAAAAAATGTGTTTTGCATGTTGTACTTTTCCCCGATTTTGCTATCTTTGATGTTAGATTTATCTTCAGATCATTCACGTTCACTGTGAAGATTGAACCCAAAACTAAATTCCTTGTCAACTCCATCCTTTACCTGTTTGTTTAGTACCACTCTCTCTTTTTCTATCTGTGAGCCTGTTACTTATCCAGGCTTTAAGTTTGTCTCCCATACAATGTTCTTTTACTGTGACACCCCGCTCACCAGGACACCAAGCTGCAGCAGATGAAGACCAATACTGAGATGATCATGAAGTGGAAGGACTATAATCTGAAGTGGAACCCCGATGACTACAACGGTACCACCAGCATCAGGATACCCTACAGGAATATCTGGTTTCCCGACATCATCTTGGTGAATACGTAGGTACCTGGCAGATTACGTAGGTACTAACGAGAATACGTAGGTACCAGGGAGAATATATAAGCATCAGGATAAGGGAGAAGTACATCATTAGTACTATTAATTAAATCTGTAGTGGTCACATAGCGCTTGAGGTACGGGAGGAAACCGTGTTTGATGTAAGGGGAAAAATGTATCTTTAATTTCTTGAAACAAGAGCCCTTCAACGGCATCAAGCCATCTACCCTCTGAAGGGAAGGCTTGGCAGAAAGACAATTGTGGGATGATGTGAGATAGTGGAGACTGTCTCCATTATCTTCTTTGTATACAGTAGTTACCAGAGGTGCTCATCCCTCCGTCTCTGTAAGAAAACATTTCTAGTTTACATTGGCAACGATCATCCTTTATTGGAAGTTTTTGGGATTGTAGAGGCCTTTATAAGTTCAGGAAAGTAATTAAGAGGATTTGTAGGATGCCAAGCTGAAAGGTCGGGCTGCTGTATCTAGTGGAACCTTCAAGTGGAGCTGAAGATGTGAGCTCCTTGTGGAGGCTGGATTATATTTTATTCTGCAAGTAATATTCCAGTCTGCCTAGTACCCAGTTACCCTATCATTTCCCAGTAAATTCAACCTCCATTAGCATTAATATTAGTCTTCCTGGGTTGTGTCCCGGGATAAGAATTTATAATTATTATTAGGGTAATTATATATTTTTCAGTAAATGTCAGAGTTTGTTTACTGTGAACCGTTGTTATCTTATTATTAATTATTCCTCCTAGTGATATGATCAAGTTTCTCAAGTGGTCAGTGCTTTTTATACTGTAATTTGAAGGGAGAGTTACAAGATAGCAGCTTCCTGGGGATAGTTCTTGTTTACCCTGGTTATCACACTACACAATGACTAATGAAACTGGATGAAGATGGTTGACGTTGAAGATGGTTGTGGATGGAGATGGTTGTGGATGAAGATGGTTGTGGATGGAGATGGTTGTGGATGAAGATGGTTGTGGATGGAGATGGTTGTGGATGAAGATGGTTGTGGATGGAGATGGTTGTGGATGAAAATGGTTGTGGATGAAAATGGTTGTGGATGAAAATGGTTGTGGATGAAAATGGTTGTGAATGAAGACGGTTGTGGATGAAGATGGTTGGCGTTGAAGAAGGTTGTGGATGGAGATGGTTGTGGATGAAGATGGTTGTGGATGAAGATAGTTGTGGATGAGAATGGTTGTGGATGAAGATGGTTGTGGATGAAAATGGTTGTGGATGAAGATGGTTGTGAATGAAGACGGTTGTGGATGAAGATGGTTGTGGATGAAGATGCTTGTGGATGGAGATGGTTGTGGATGAAGATGGTTGTGGATGAAGATGGTTGTGGATGAAGATGGTTGTGGATGGAGATGGTTGTGGATGAAGATGGTTGTGGATGAAGATGGTTGTGGATGAAAATAGTTGTGGATGAAAATGGTTGTGGATGAAAATGGTTGTGGATGAAGATGGTTGTGAATGAAGACGGTTGTGGATGAAGATGGTTGTGGATGAAGATGGTTGTGGATAAAGATGGTTGTGGATGAAGATGGTTGCGGATGATAATGGATGTGGATGATGGCTGTGGATGAAGATGGTTGTAGATGAAGATGGTTGTGGATGAAGATGGTTGTGGATGAAAATGGATGTGGATGATGGTTGTGGATGAAGATGGTTGCGGATGAAGATGGCTGTGGATGAAGATGGTTGTGGATGAAAATATATGTGGATGATGGTTGTGGATGAAGATCGTTGTGGATGAAGATGGTTGTGGATTAAGACGGTTGTAGATGAAGATGGTTGTGGATGAAGATGGTTGTGGATGAAGATGGTTGTGGATGAAGATGGTTGTAGATGAAGATGGTTGTGGATGAAGATGGGTGTGGATGAAGATGGTTGCGGATGAAGATGGCTGTGGATGAAGATGGTTGTGGATGAAAATGGATGTGGTGATGGTTGTGGATGAAGATCGTTGTGGATGAAGATGGTTGTGGATTAAGATGGTTGTGGATGAAGATGGTTGTAGATGAAGATGGTTGTGGATAAAGATGGTTGTGGATGAAGATGGTTGTAGATGAAGATGGTTGTGGATGAAGATGGTTGTGGATGTAGATGGTTGTGGATGAAGATGGTTGTGGATGAAAATGGATGTGGATGATGGTTGTGGATGAAGATGGTTGTGGATGAAGATGGTTGTGGATGGAAATGGATGTGGATGATGGTTGTGGATGAAGATAGTTGTTGATGAAGATGGTTGTGGATGAAGATGGTTGTGGATAAAGATGGTTGTGGATGAGGATGGTTGTGGATGAAGATGGTTGTGGATGAAGATGGTTGTGGATGAAGATGGGTGTGGATGAAGAAGGTTGCGGATGAAGATGGCTGTGGATGAAGATGGTTGTGGATGAAAATGGATGTGGATGATGGTTGTGGATGAAGATGGTTGTGGATGAAGATGGTTGTGGATGAAGATGGTTGTGGATGAAAATGGATGTGGATGATGGTTGTGGATGAAGATGGTTGTAGATGAAGATGGTTGTGGATGAAGATGGTTGTGGATGAGGATGGTTGTGGATGAAGATGGTTGTGGATGAGGATAGTTGTGGATGAAGATGGTTGTGGATGAAAATGGATGTGGATGATGGTTGTGGGTGAAGATGGTTGTGGATGAAGATGGTTGTGGATGAAGATGGTTGTGGATGAAGATGGTTGTGGATGAAAATGGATGTGGATGATGGTTGTGGATGAAGATGGTTGTAGATGAAGATGGTTGTGGATGAAGATGGTTGTAGATGAAGATGGTTGTGGATGAAGATGGTTGTGGATGAAGATGGTTGTGGATGAAGATGGTTGTGGATGAAGATGGTTGTAGATGAAGATGGTTGTGGATGAAGATGGGTGTGGATGAAGATGGTTGCGGATGAAGATGGCTGTGAATGAAGATGGTTGTGGATGAAAATGGATGTGGATGATGGTTGTGGATGAAGATGGTTGTGGATGAAGATGGTTGTGGATTAAGATGGTTGTGGATGAAGATGGTTGTAGATGAAGATGGTTGTGGATAAAGATGGTTGTGGATGAAGATGGTTGTAGATGAAGATGGTTGTGGATGAAGATGGTTGTGGATGAAGATGGCTGTGAATGAAGATGGTTGTGGATGAGAATGGACGTGGATGATGGTTGTGGATGAAGATGGTTGTGGATGAAGATGGTTGTGGATGAAGATGGTTGTGGATGAAAATGGATGTGGATGATGGTTGTGGATAAAGATGGTTGTAGATGAAGATGGTTGTGGATGAAAATGGTTGTGGATAAAGATGGTTGTGGATGAAGGTGGTTGTGAATGAAGATGGTTGTGGATGAAAATGGATGTGGATGATGGTTGTGGATGAAGATGGTTGTGGATGAAGATGGTTGTGGATGAAGATGGTTGTGGATGAAAATGGATGTGGATGATGGTTGTGGATGAAGATGGTTGTGGATGAAGATGGTTGTGGATGAAGATGGTTGTGATGGAAATGGATGTGGATGATGGTTGTGGATGAAGATGGTTGTAGATGAAGATGGTTGTGGATGAAGATAGTTGTGGATGAGGATGGTTGTGGATGAAGATGGTTTTGGATGAGGATGGTTGTGGATGAAGATGGTTGTGGATGAAAATGGATGTGGATGATGGTTGTGGATGAAGATGGTTGTGGATGAAGATGGTTGTGGATGAAAATGGATGTGGATGATGGTTGTGGATGAAGATGGTTGTAGATGAAGATGGTTGTGGATGAAGATGGTTGTGGATAGAGGATGGTTGTGGATGAAGATGGTTGTGGATGAGGATGGTTGTGGATGAAGATGGTTGTGGATGAGGATGGTTGTGGATGAAGATGGTTGTGGATGAAGATGGTTGTGGATGAAGATGGTTGTGGATGAAGGTTGTGGATGATGGTTGTGGATGAAGATGGTTGTGGATGAAGATGGTTGTAGGATGAAGATGGTTGTGGATGAGGATGGTTGTGGATTTGAGGATGGTTGTGGATGAGGATGGTTGTGGATGAAGATGGTTGTGGATGAAGATGGTTGTGGATGAAGATGGTTGTGGATGAAGATGGTTGTGGATGAAGATGGTTGTGGATGAAGATGGTTGTGGATGAAGATGGTTGTGGATGAAGATGGTTGTGGATGAAGATGGTTGTGGATGAAGATGGTTGTGGATGAAGATGGTTGTAGATGAAGATGGTTGTGGATGAGGATGGTTGTGGATGAGGAGATCGTAAATGGGAAAGCCAGATATTAGGCGATTTAATGATCTTCATTAATGCTGTGTGTTGAAGTCTAATAAGAGTCTAGTTAGGTTTATTTCTGTCTTGATAAGTGAGGGTATGATAGTTGTTATGGTTGTAGGGTGATAATGAAAGGCAGAGTAACGGCCAGGTTAACAACAGCAACAACAACACACAGCTATAGACACCACAACCATAAATGAATGACCATAACAAACACAGTATTTAATTCTCTTACTGCTCCCATCACCTTATAATAGTGAAGCAGAAGGCTCTACCCTACTCCTCACTACTTCAAGCCACACTGCCTACTTGAAAAAAAAATAAACGAAGCCGTTACCTCACTTTTACTTTCCTTGACTCCATCTCTTCCTTCTTTGCGTCTCCTTCCCTAAACATTTCTTTTCTCCCTTCTACATCCCTCAATTCTCCCTCTTTTCTTTAGCTCTACCTTTTTTTCTTCACCTCTTCTTCCCTTACTTTCCTCTCCTCTTCTTACTTCACTTCTCCCTCCTTCTCTACCACCTCCCTCACAACTACCTCTCCCCCATTTCTACATGGTTGTTCAGCGCGGACAGCAACTACGAGGCCAGCGTGCTCAACACAAACGCCATCATCACGCACCAGGGTGAGGTAGAACTACTAAGCCACGCCATCCTCACCACAGTGTGTCTGATGGATGTGCAATGGTATCCCTTGCCGCAGCCCTGCGACTCCCCTTTGCCCGTGGCCCCTACGACAATACAAAGGTAAGGTTCTAGGAAACGGACAAGTTTTTTTTTTAGGCAGGTCTTAGGTGTGCCTGCCGTTAGAGTTTTGGTATCTGATGAGGCCTTCGTGGTTTACGGTCCCCATTTAAAAATTTAGGGTAAAGTTATAACCATTTTATTTTACGTATTAAGGTTAGTGATACCCCTTAAACAGCAGATACAGACTCCCCTTTGCTCGTGGACTAGGACAAAACTAAGGTTTTTAATAAAAATAATAATAAATAATAATAATAATAAAAATTTAAATAAAAATAAATATTTTCTTCGGTTTTTTAACCCCGGAGGATTAGCCCCGGTAACCCAAGAAAGTCAGTGCGTATCGAAGACTAACTTATTTCCATTGAAGTCCTCAATCTTGCCCCCAGGATGGACCCAACAGCGACAAAAACCCAGGTACCTATTTGCTGCTGGTGAACAGGACAAACAGGTGTAAGGAAACGTGTCGAAATTTTTCCACTCCCCGGGAATCGAACCCGGGCCCCCCGTTTGGGCAAGGGGGAGCTTTAGCCCCCCAGGCCACGGGAATTAATAAAAATTTAATAAAAAAATTAAAAAAAATTAATAATAATAATAAAAAATTTAATAAAAATTTAATAATAATATAATAATAAAAATAATAAAAGAAAAAAGGAAAAAAGAAGAAAAAGGGAAGAAGAATGTTTATTAGGTAAAATACAAAAAATACATTTTATAAATTATTAAATATAGCAGCTTGTGTGATTTTTCATGTAAAAAAATTAACCGAGTTTTCCAAAATTTAAAAATCTTTTTTTCTTAAATATAGTAAAACTCAAAGTATAACTATTTTAATATTAACCTATGTATTTTCTCAGTGACCCATTGTTTCCCTTTTCAGATCCGGTTGTACAGGGCCCCTGCCGCCCTCTCAAAGTTCAGACAGAACCCGGGATTCTTCCTGGAGGACTTCTATTCAAAAACTGGACGAGAAAACAACCCTTGCTGCCCCACCCATTCCCGTGAGTGTCACTTGCCTCCGACTAAGTCAATTTTTTCAAAACCTTTTTTTATAGCGCGTTTATTTATTTATTTTTTTTTTTTGTGAAGCGATTGAAAAAAAAATGCAACCAATTTAAAACCCCGTGTACAGGTCTTTATAATACGGTTATTCAATTTTTGGTTATAGATTTTGGGAAAATTTTTCGCATATGTAAAAATTTTTGTAAGAGCTTTTCGAAAATTTTATTTTTTAACATCGAACCATGCCTAACCCTTTAGGGTAGGGTAGGTGCCTGGCCGAGCCGTCATAACCCGTCTTTTCCCCTTTGCCCCCTTGGGGCGGGGGGATGGCAGACCGGAGGCCTAGCTTTGGGGTAGGGCCTGGGGACAGTTGGTCCAAAGTGAGGAGGTCTTGTGCCCTCCCATGGGAGATTAGGTCTCGACATCCTAAAGAGGGAGCAAGCCGGGCCACCACTTGGAAAAAAAGGGCCCGGGCCCGGGAGGGGAAAACCGGGAATATTTAATAAAAAAATAATAATATTTTGTAAACAATTTATATCTTTAAAAAAGGGGGTAAGATAAGATTAAAAAATTGAAAAATCTATTAGTTTCTTGCTTCATTTTAAAACAAGTGGTAAACTGGTGACGTCCCAGGTCCTGGTTTTAAAAAAGCGACGGGGGGGGACGCTAGTCTCACCAAGTTCTTTAAAAAATTTAAAAATTTTAATTAAAAAATTTTTATTTCTCTATTTATATTACAAAAGTGGGTTTACATTTATAAAATTTTTATTGCATTTAATATACAAGAAGGCCCTACCATACCCAGGAGGCCTAGGAATTTCGGGGAATAAATTTATTTTTACTCTATATTGACAAGGTTATACATCACATGGATTTTTTAAGTTAGGTAGCTGTAGTGTTAACTGATTTTCAAAAATGAGGGAGCTCAATATTTAAATAATTAACAATTTGTTTATCTATTAGTGGGTTTGGGCTTCTTGGCATAATAAGTTTCTTTTTTTTTGTTTTTGTAATGGAGTGTCTTAAACAAAATTATGACCGCTTAAGAATTTTTTGGCAAAAAAATATATTCAGAAATTTTATGTGACAGTCTTTTGTGTAAATTAGAGGGAATCACATATCAAATAAGTATATTTTCTTTTGGACATGTGCAAGGTAAGGAAGTTTTTATGTGGTTAGCTGCCCGTGGTGTGTGTGAGCTACCCGTGGTGTGTGTGTGAGCTACCCGTGATGTGTGTGAGCTACCCGTGGTGTGTGTGAGCTACCCGTGGTGTGTGTGTAAGCCACCCGTGGTGTGTGTGAGCTACCCGTGGTGCGTGTGAGCTACCCGTGGTGCGTGTGAGCTACCCGTGATGTGTGCGAGCTACCCGTGGTGTGTGTAAGCCACCCGTGGTGTGTGTGAGCTACCCGTGGTGCGTGTGAGCTACCCGTGGTGCGTGTGAGCTACCCGTGGTGCGTGTGAGCTACCCGTGGTGCGTGTCGGCTACACGTGGTGCGTGTGAGCTACCCGTGGTGCGTGTGAGCTACCCGTGGTGCATGTGAGCTACCCGTGGTCCGTGTGAGCTACCCGTGGTGCGTGTGAGCTACCCGTGGTGTGTGTAAGCTACCTGTGGTGTGTGTGAGCTACCCGTGGTGTGTGTTAGCTACCCGTGGTGTGTGTGTTAGCTACCCATGGTGTGTGTTAGCTACCCGTGGTGTGTTACCTACCCGTGGTGTATGTTAGCTACCCGTGGTGTGTGTTAGCTACCCGTGGTGTGTGTTAGCTACCCGTGGTGTGTGTGAGCTACCCGTGGTGTGTGTGAGCTACCCGAGGTGTGTGTGAGCTACCCGTGGTGTGTGTAAGCTACCCGTGGTGTGTGTGAGTTACCCGTGGTGTGTGTTAGCTACCCGTGGTGTGTGTGTTAGCTACCCATGGTGTGTGTTAGCTACCCGTGGTGTGTTACCTACCCGTGGTGTATGTAAGCTACCCGTGGTGTGTGTGAGCTACCCGTGGTGTGTGTTAGCTACCCGTGGTGTGTGTGAGCTACCCGTGGTGTGTGTGTTAGCTACCCGTGGTGGTGTGTTAGCTACCCGTGGTGTGTGTAAGCTACACGTGGTGCGTGTGAGCTACCCGTGGTGTGTGTTAGCTACCCGTGGTGTGTGTGTTAGCTTACCGTGGGTGTGTTCGCTTACCCGTGGTGTGTGTTAGCTTACAGTGGTTGTGATAGCTACCGTGGTGTGTGTGAGCTACCCGAGGTGTGTGTGAGCGACCGTGGTGTGCGTAAGCTACGTGGGTGTGTGAGCTACCGTGGTGTGGTGTTAGCTACCCGTGGCAATCGTGTGTGTTAGCCTACCCATGGGTGTGATTAGCTACCCGTGTTGTATGTTAGCTACCCGTGGTGTGTGTTAGCTACCCGTGGTGTGTGTTAGCTACCCGTGGTGTGTGTTAGCTACCCGTGGTGTGTTAGCTACACGTGGTGTGTGTTAGCTACCCGTGGTGTGTGTTAGCTACCCGTGGTGTGTGTTAGCTACCCGTGGTGTTGTGTTAGCTATCCGAGGTGTGGTGTAAAGCTTACCGTGGTGAGTGTGAGCTATCCCGTGGTGTGTGTTAGCTACCCGTGGTGTGTGCTTAAGATACCCGTGGTGGGTTAAGCTACCCGTGGTGGTGTTAGCTACCCGTGGGTGTGTTAGCTACCCGTGGTGTTGTGTTAGCTACCGTGGTGTGTGTTAGCTATCAGTGGTGTGTGTGAGCTACCCGAGGGGTGTGTGAGCTACTTGAGGTGTGTGTGAGCTACGGTGGTTTGTGTGAGTACCGGTGGTGTGTGTGAGCTACATGGTAGTGTGTATGCTACCCGTGGTGTGTGTAGCTACCCGTGGTGTGTGTTAGTTTCCCGTGGAGTGTTAGCTTTACGGTAATGTGTGTTTAGCTACCCTGGTGTGTGTGTTACCCTACCGTGGTGTGTGTTTCAACCCGTTGGTGTGGGCTAGCTACCCGTGGTGTGTGTACTACCGTGGTGTTAGTTAGCTACCCGTGGTGTAGTTGTTAGACTACACGTGGTGTGTGTTTGGCTACCCCGTCGTGTGTGATAGCTTACCCGTGGTATGTGTCTTTAGCTACCCGTGGTGTGAGTTAGCTACCCGTGGTGTGATACCTACCCAGTGGTGTATGTTAGGCTACCCGTGGTGTGTGTTAGCTACCCGTGGAGTGTGTGAGCTACCCGTGGTGTGTGTTAGCTACCCGTGGTGTGTGTTAGCTACCCGTGGTGTGTGTTAGCTACACGTGGTGTGTTAGCTACGTGGTCGTGTGTTTTAGCTACCGTGCGTGGGTGTTAGCTACCCGTGGCGTTGTTAGCTACCGTGGTGTGTGTAAGCTACCGTGGTTGTGTGTGAGCTTACCCGTGGTGCTTGTTGAGCGACCCGTGGTTGGGGCGGTGTGAGCTACCGTGGTTGCGTGTGAGCTACACGTGGGCGTGTGAGCTACCGTGGTGCGTCGGTGAGCTACCCGTGGTGCGTGTGAGCTACCCGTGGTGCGTGTGAGCTACCCGTGGTGTGTGTAAGCTACCCGTGGTGAGTGTGAGCTACCCGATGGTGTGTCGTTAGCTACCCGTGGTTGTGTGTGTTAGCTACCCGTGGTGATGGTGTTAGCTACCCGTGGTTGTGTTACTACCGTTGGTGTATGTTAGCTACCCGTGGTGCGTGTGGTACCGAGAGGGCGTTGTGGCTACCCGTGTGACGGTGAGTACCCGTGGTGCGTGTGAGCTACCCGTGGTTGTGTGTGTTAGCGATACCCGTGGTGTGTGTTAGCTACCGTGGGTGTGTTCTCTACCCGTGGGGTATGTTAGCTACCGTGGTGTGTGTTCGTACCGTGGTGCCTGTGTTAGATACCCGTGGTGTGTTAGCTACCCGTTGTGTGTGTTAGTACCCGTGGTGTGGGTGAGCTACCCGTGGTTGTATGTTAGCTTACCCGTGGCGACGTTGTGAGCTACCCGTGGTGTTGTGTAAGCTCTACCCGTGGTGTGTGATGTAGATACCAGTCGTGTGTGTTAGCTACCAGTGGTGTGTACCTACCCGTGGTGTTGGGTTTTTATAGCTACCGTGGTGGTGCGTTAGTACCCGTGGTGTTGCGTTAGCTTACCCGTGGTGTGTGTTAGCTGCCCGTGGTGTGTGTGAGTACCGTGTGTGTGTGTTAGCTACCCGTGGTGTGTGTAAGCTACCCGTGGTGCGTTGTGAGCTACCCGTGGTGTGTGTTCGTACCGTGGTATGTGTGTGTTAGCTACCCGGTGTTGTGTTAGCTACTCGGGTGTGTTGCCTAACCCTTGGTGTTGTGTTAGCTACCGTGGTGTGTTGTGTGTGTTAGTACCCGTGGGTGTGTGTGAGTACCCGGAGGTGTGTGTGAGTACCGTGGTGTGTGTAAGCTACCCGTCGGTGTGTCGTGAGCTACCCGTGGTGTGTGTTAGCTACCGTGGTGTGTGTGTTAGCTCCCGTGGTTGTGTTGTTATCTTACTAGTGGTGTGTTACCTACCGTGGTGTATGTTAGCTACCCGTGGTGTGTGTTCGCACCATGGTGTGTGTTAGCTACCCGTGGTGTGGTGGTTAGTCTAACCGTGGTGTGTGTTTAGGCTACCCGTGGTCGTGTGTTAGTTACCCTTGGCTGTGTTAGCTACCAGTAATGTGTGTTAGCTACCCGTGGTGTGTGTTACCTACCCGTGGTGTGTGTTTGCTACCGTGGTTGTGAGCTAGCTACCGTGGTGTGTGTTACCTACCGTGGTGTTGTTAGGGTCTACCCGATGTGTTTTGTCTTAGCTACAAGTAGGTGTGAGTTAGCTAACGCACCGTAGTGTGTCTGAGTGAAGCTCTTTCTACCCGTGGTGTGTGTGCTAGCTACCCGTGGTGTGTGTAGCTACCCGTGGTGTGGTACCTACCCGTGGTGTCGTATGTTAGCTAACGTGGATTGTGTTTTGTTAGCCACCCGTGGTGTGTGTGAGCTACCCGTGGTGTGGTGTGACGTTAGCTTCCCCGT